TTTATAGAGGTTGCATTTAGGGAGGTCTGACTATATCTAGACTAAAGTTGTTCAAAATAAAGCTCTGAGGTTTGGCTCCAGTTCAGTCCGGGTTTGATCGAACCTCAAACTCAAACCAAACTCAAACTTTAAATTTTAATTTTTTCAAACTCAAACTCGAACCAAATTTATAATTTTCAAACCTAGATTGAACTCAAACATAATTATAAGTTTGGTTCGAGTTTGGTTAGAAGTTTGCAAACATGTTCAGGTTTGAATAAGTTAAATATAAAATAGTTTAATTAATATCAACTGTATATATTAATATAATATGCACAAAAATAAATAAATTAAAAAATTTATATCACATGTCAAAATTCAAACCTTTGATATATTGAATAAAACTGAGATAAAATTGCTATTTAAAAAAGTTTCAAATATTACATGTATATATATTAAGTATCAAAAACTCATGTAACTTGAACAAAAATGACAAATAAAAAAAAATTTATAGACTGACAAAAATAATAACGATAAGCAATAAATTAATCAATTTATTTATTTCAATAATCATAATATTTATTGCAGCTAGGAAGTATTATGATTACGGTTTTTCCAAGTATTTAAAATATTCTATTGCCTTTTAAAATGATTATAATCTGAATAGCTATTCAATATCAATTTTTGAGCTTTAACTAGTATACACATATAATAGTAAGCCGAATTCTGATTATATATAATGTTAACAAGCAACTTTATACTTATTAACTATTTTACAGTATAAGATAAATAAACAAACTACATTTATAAAATTGAAATTATTAAACTTAATGCATAAATTAATAAATGTATTATTGTTATATATATATTTATATCGATACGATTAAAAAGAATCTGATATATAGTGATGCGGTAAAATCGTTTGTCGTAACTAGTTACTGTACTTTATATTTATGGGCAAATATACAAAGCAAATGAATTAAATGTACTGTACGTATATTAATCATTGGCCAACTTGCTATTAATCATAAATGACCAAATAATATACTAGTTCATATCAACAGCACGGGATATTATTTTACTTGAAATGGTAGTTTTAACCAGTTAAATTAAGGTTAAAATTAGTGTAATGTAATTGTAAGTTACCATGGTAAGTTACCGTAAGTTATCAACAAATAGGTAACTTACTATGTAACTTACCATGGTAAGTTACCACTAACAACTCTGATGATCAGATTGCGTAATTTAAACTTTTAAAATAGTAATATATAAGGAAATCATTCTTAAGGGAAGTTATCTTTAGAAATTAATTGAAGAGATTTTCTTTTTGTGCATATCTAGAGTACATACCTGTGCCTAAATATTGGATCAGGCAGATTAAAAAAAAAACCAACACAGTGAACCTATATGTTAAGCTATTACTATCGGTATCATTAAGTCTGTTAAAAAAAATTTGACAAGTTAGATAAGACCACCAAGGCAGCTGTTACAGTAATTACAAACAAATTATTTCATAATAGTGATGAGTTCCTCATCCATACAATTGAAAGAAATTGTACCAAGCTATGATAATAACTACGATAATAGCTATGATAATGGCTACAATAATGACTACGATAATGACTGCGATAATGACTGTGATAATAACTATAACAATAATACTATTAGTACAGATAGCAAGCAAAATAATGGAAGCGATGTGTGAGACTTTTTTAGAAAGGTTGTATGGCAAAAGGAAAAGAAAACAGCAAAATATAGGATATTAAATTGCTCTCACAAAGAATTTTCTTGCGGATGTGGGGGCTCAACCACAACGTTATGGCATCATTTAGAAAGTGCTTACCGGGCTCAGTATGTTAAAACAGAGAAATATTGCAAAAAAATTAAAAAGATGCAAGATGAATGTGGTACCGTTGAGAATATGTTTAGGAAAGTGAGATTTTACTAGTACTTTACAAAATCAAATTTTGAATTTAAGTCAAATATTTGAAATTATTTGATCAAATTTTTAATTAATTTGATCAAATTATTTTAATTATTTGATTCAAATTCAAAATTTAATTTTTTTTGTTTTCTTACTTTTTTAGAATAATCTAATTTGAACTTATATAGAATCCTAAAGATCTCTCTTCTATTAAGTTGGCTAGTGTTGATAATATGAGACTTTGGGATATGTTTGCCGTCTGGATTGTCAATCATCAATGCCCACTTGCTATAATTGAAGATCCTAAATTAATCAAGATTATAGAATATTTGAATCCCACAGTAAAGTTAGTTAAGGCAGATACAATTAAAAATATAATCATGTTATTTTATAATACAGGAAGGCAAGAATTGAAGGCAAGTTTTATAATTATGCTACATTTATATAGATTAAATAATTTTATTAAATTTAATAGGCAAATCACGAGTCACCTAAACAAATTTTTTTTTTTATATATAAATTTTACTATAAGTCTGAATATGCAGTACTTCTATCTAAAAC